AAGGAGCAGAATTCACAGTCAATGAATAAAAGGGGTTTTTGACAGGACAAGGAGTTTGCTTCATGATCTTGGGAAGCCTAGGCTAGAACAGATTGGCGTCACATAATGTAACAACCGGTTCGCTGAGAACCGAAAAGATAAGTGTGCACGCTTGCGGCGTCAAATACACTTTGTCTATATAGGACGGGATAGTGCCCGGGCGGGTGGGCAATCCCTGATGCTGGTCAGAACTTCTGGTTCTAATTTCAGGTGTGCAGGTGGGAATCTTGTAGAAGTATCATCTACATAGTTCATCTCGTTTTAACTCTGAAAAATGGTCATAAATCCCTTCTTTCAGCCCCCGTTGTAACTTGGAGCAGTCACTAAATGAAACCATTGTAAGTCGATTTCCTGCGTTCTCTCTGGTTTTTCCAGAGTGGTTTTTCCTACTCCGGTGCAGCTGATCTTCAGCCAAGGAAGGGTATTAAATATTTTGAAATGAACAAGGTACAGAAATCGTAGCCGTTGAAAAAATGTCCCAAAGCAGATTTTACTGCATTTTTCTACAGCTTTGCTCCACAATCTTTTATCCTCACAAAAATGCTCTTAAGTTAAGTACGTTAAGGATATAAAAGTATGTATGCTTGAGGATTATTTAATCAGCTTTCAGACTGGAAAAACAAATATGAGTCTTTCTAGTTCTCTTTTAACCCTTCGCCCCCTGAGCCTGGTTGAAGCCACACAATATAGTGTGTAACCTAGTTTGTTTGATATTGGCCTGTGTCCTTTGCTGTTCTGGTATCAATAACCGATGGCGTAAGCAAGGATGCGAAGCCATTAAATATATCCCTGCTTTGAAAGATTCACCAAAAAGTCAATGAGAATTGAAATTCTAAAAAGGGCAAGAGATGATGGATAGACATAGAATATTTTTTTTAACATGGTAGTTATTTAATTTGTTAGAAAAAAGAATTAGAAAGTAGAAATTGGGAATAGCAATAGCAGTTAGACTTATATACTGCTTCATAGGGCTTTCAGCCCTCTCTAAGCAGTTTACAGAGTCAGCATATTGCCCCCAATAATCCAGGTCCTCATTTTACCCACCTCGGAAGGATGGAAGGCTGAGTCAACCTTGAGCCGGTGAGATTTGAACAGCCGAACTGCAGNAACCCCCCGAGACCCGTGGGTTCATTCAGCACGATGGGATTTGTAGTCCACCCTGCCAACGGATCGCACCACGCCCAAACCCAGCAAGGCAAGCGCGGCTTTTGCAATGCCAGGCATCTCCTGGTTGATTGATTGATTGATTGACAAGCCAGCATTTGCCTGCTTCTCACCTGCTTTGGCTCAGATCCGGGTTTGTCCCATCGCTGCGAAAGTAACTCGAGACATTTTCCTCCGCTCCGCCTTCGGCAGGAGGAAGAGCCCCGGGCGGGGTCACGGAAGTCGCCGAACTCATCCGGAAAGACCCGAACACTCCAGCCAGGCTTCGGAAACGAAGGCGCTTTACTTAGGCGCTAAGCGGGAGTTGCCGAACGTTTTTCCGTCACCGCCCCCCCCTTCCGAGCCGGAGATGTCCGGAAGTTTCCGACTCCTTCTCAAGAACTCATTCGGAAAGACTCGGAAGACGCACTCGGGCCAACCAGGCTTCGGAAACGAAGGGGCTTTACTTAGGCGCTGGGCGGAAGTTGCCGAACGTTTTTTCCGTCACCGCCCCCTTCCGAGGCCGAAGATGTCCGGAAGTCCCCGAGTCCTTCTCAAGAACTCACTTCCAATGAAGCCGCCTCGAAAGACCCGGAAATGCCCGAAGTAGCCCGGAAAGAGTCGCCCGACCTAGAGCGGCCCCCCTCCTCCTGCTCCTCCGCCCCTCCCTCCTGCTCCTGCTCCTCCTTCCGAACGCCGAGCGGAAGTCTCCGAAAAAAAGACGGCGCTTTGACGAAGCGCGGCCGGACGTCCAACGAGACGGCGCGCGCGCGCGCGAGGAGGAGGGAGGGGGGCGAGGGGTCAGAGGTCACCCCGAGCGCCCGAGGCCTCCTCCGGAAGTTGCCGAACGCCCCCGAAGCTCCCGGGGAGGGCAGGCAGCGGCGCCACACAAGATGGCGGACGGGGAGGAGGTTACTCTGGACGGGAGGCCGCTTCAGGCGTTGAGGGTCGCCGACCTGAAGGCGGCTTTGGAAGAGCGGGGACTGCCGAAGAGCGGGCAGAAGAGCGCCTTGATTAAGCGGCTCCGTGGGGTGAGGAAAAAAAAAAAAAGGGCCCGGCGGGGGAAAGGGGGCCCGGGGGCCCGGGTGGCTTCGCGCATGCGTAAACCGAGGCGGGCAAGGGTTTTTTTTTTTTCCTCCCCCGCTCCGGGCTTCTAAGCAACGCGGGCCCCTGGCCCGGGGGTGCCGCCGCGCATGCGCGGGGCAATAGCCCACTACTGCCACCAAGGGGTGGGGGGAGAAATTGCCTCTACCTTTAGGGCGAAAAATGGGGCGGGGGGGGGCAGGAAGAGTCCTATTGGCGGGAGAAGCCTTTGACATCACTTTGGGGTTGCCCCATAGAAATAGGGGAGGGGGGATCCCCTTTTAAGTGAGTTTGGGGGAAATCCTTGCAGAAGTTTTAACAGCCTGTTGCTGATTGGGAGAGGGGGGGGGAAATGGGCATTTCCTGGTCCCACCACTGATTGGGGAGGGGGCGCCCCATGGAGGCCCGATCCTTCCCCCCCCCTGCCAATTTGGCAACTTGCCTTTCATCCCAGGCTCACTTTTTTGGGGGGGGGGCTTCTCCATTCATCTCCTAAGATTCCCCCCCCCCTCCAGCCCCATAAGTTTCCGAACAGATGTTCCCGCAAGGAAACCCAAGTTTCTGGTTTCCATTTGGATTTCAATTCGGATTGAAAAAGTTTTCACTCGGGACGACGAGGTCCTCGCGCTTACGACGGCTCCCTTGGTGACTGAAGGGACGACGGCACTTTAAAAAAAGGGTGGGGGAACGAAGAGCGTTTTTCATGCTTAACCAACCCTTGCGGTATTTCCACGCACCCCGCCTCCCACGATGGCGGGATTTACATTCGGAGGCTCGGCTCGCAGTTATGACGGTTTGCGCGGGGGTCGCGGGAATCCCCTTTTCGGAAAAGCAAAGTCGACGGGGAAACCGTATTCGCTTCGCACGTGTGTGCCCATTTAAGGACCGGTGTGTATTCGCTTAACGGATGTGGCCAGGAAGCAAAACGCACCGAACCAAATTTCTCGCTTAGCGACTTAAATTGGGGGCTCTGTCGTCGTACTTTGTGGGTTACCTGTATAGGTGGTTTTTTTTAGGATGAGGTGAGGGGGATGGATGAATTCAGCTTTAGGGTAAAGATCCTGCCTTGAAGGTTGTGGGCTGTGGAACAGCTTGCCACTAGAAGTTGTGCTCCATCACTTGGAGGCTTTTAAGAGGACGCAGGACAGTTGCTTGTCTGAAATGGCATAGGGTCTCCTGATTGAGCAGGGGGTTGGGCTAGAAGACCTCCAAGGTCCCTTCCAGCTCTTCATTGCTTGATAACCCAATCTGGAATTAAGGAATTAGCTTCCTAACAGCGAGAACCAGTGGAACAACCTGCCACCAGATGTTCTGGGTGCTTCATCATTGGGATTTTTTAAGAAGAGATCGGGGAACCATTTGTCTGAAATGGTACAGGATATTCTGCTTCAGCAGGGGGTTGGACTAGAAGACCTCCAAGGGTTCCTTCCAGCTCTATTCTGATGGATTGAGCTAGCGTGGCTGTGCAGAAGAAGGTGCATTTGTAGCCCAGGCCATGGCAGGAAGGGCCAAAAAGTGGGGTCCAGATAGTCCTCGGTTTACAACCGTTCATTTAATGACCGTTTGAAGTTGCAACAGCATGGAAGAAAACAGACTTAACGACCATTTTTCACACCGTTGCAGCATCCCCGTGATCATGCGGTCAAAATTCAGACGGTTGGGAAACCGGCTCGCATTTATGACGGTTGCAGTATCCCTTTTGCCACCTTCTGACGAACAAGATAGCAATAGCAGTTAGACTTATATNACTCTTTTCACCCTTGAATTTCATTTTGTTAGATGATGACTATCGCCAAGTCTTGCATTTATGATTCTTGATGAACGTGGGGGTTTTATTTACGTACTCGGAGCGCTTCCATGCACCGAAAACAAATTCCTTGTGCGTCCGATCATCCGTGGCCAATCAAGGATTCTATTCCATCAATCAAGAATTCTATTTGCTAAACAATCTTTTATTTTCATACTAGCCGATAACCTGGGGTTGCCCGGGGATTTATTTATAGGGGGGAAATGTCCGGACCAAACGTAATTTATGTTGGATATTCCGCCCCCTGGTGGAGTACTCTGAAGCCGTTACCATGGCAACTCCACTGCGCTGTACAGAACCCATTTTAAAGCAGTACAGTAGAAGCCATTTGAAGGCACAACAGGCTGTATCTTAACAGAACACACACCCCGAGGGGCTTTAGTGGTGTCTTACCTTACCCCCACAGTATTTTTCTCCAGAGAGTAAATCATGCTCCAGAGTTATGCTGGGACACACACAACTATTTTTATAGAGACTATCCCTAAGCATGGCATCTTGAGTTCTTGATGAACGTGGGGGGTTTTATTTACGTACTCGGAGCGCTTCCATGCACCGAAGACAAATTCCTTGTGCGTCCGATCATCCGTGGCCAATCAAGGATTCTATTCAATCAATCAAGAATTCTATTTGCTAAACAATCTTTTATTTTCATACTAGTCGATAACCTGGGGTTGCCTGGAGATTTATTTATAGGGGGAAAATGTCCGGACCAAACGTAATTTCTAATGTTTCCCCCTTACCAGAGGGCGCCCCCTGGGGAGTACTCTGAAGCCGTTACCATGGCAACTCCACTGCGCTGTACAGAAGCCATTTTAAAGCAGTACAGTAGAAGCCATTTGAAGGCACAACAGGCTGTATCTTAACAGAACACACACCCCGAGGGGCTTTAGGGGCGTCTTACCTTACCCCCACAGTATTTTTCTCCAGAGAGTAAATCATCTGTTTATCAAGTTTGGTTGAAATTGCTCCAGAGTTATGCTGGGACACACACAACTATTTTTAGAGAGACTATCCCTAAGCGTGGAATTTTAAGAGTTCTTGATGAACGTGAGGGTTTTTTATTTATGTACACGGAGCGCTTCTGTGCACCGAAGACAAATGTGCGTCCGATTATCCGTGGCCAATCGAGCGTTCTCGTCCATCAATCGAGAATTCTATTTGCTAAACAATCTTTTATTTTCATATTATTTAGGGTTGCAACACGGAAAGGCCTTTTGGCTCAGCTGGCTGAAGACATCCAGAAAAATCAAGACCCAAAGTGGAAGGGGGAAAAAAGGGGGATTGAAAGGAAGAAAGCCACGGCCCGCTTTAGTCTTGTCCGGCGGTGGCGGCCACTTCTCGGTAAAACCGCCCGGCTAACTCCGGCATCTCCTCTTCCATCTGCCGGACAAACTCGTTGCGTTCAGTTTCCGACCAGCTGCGAAACCACTGGTCCCAGAGGCGCATCTGGCATTCGTAGATGGACGGGGGCTTCTCAGGTCCCACGCGGAGCCCGGAGAGGCTCTCCAGCAGGGGGAGGAGCTTCCAGGGGACGGCCTTGTCCACCAGGTCTCGGAGGAAGCGTTCCCGTTGGGCCGGAGTCCAGCTGGACAGCCAATGGAGGAGGCAGCGCATCTCTTGGGCCGTCACGTAGGATAAAGGCAGCGGCTCGGACATCCTGTACGGAGACGACAGAGAAACAAGGGTGGGTGGGAGGGGATTTCAGCCAGTCCTCGACTTACGACATTTCCCTCCCTCCCGTCTCTCCTTCCTCTCTTCCTCCCGCCTGCCCTCTCTCCCCTTCTTCCTTCTTTCCCTCCCTTCCTCTTTCCTTCTACCCTCCATCCCTTCCTTCCTCCCTCCCTCCCATACCTTCTCTAACCTTCTTCTCTCCCTCTCTTCCTTCTCTTTCCTTCCTTCTCCCCCTTCTTCCTCCCTCTCTCCCCTTCTTTCCCTTTCCTCCCTCCCTCCCTTTCCTTCTCTTCTTCCACCCTTCCGTCCCCCCTTCCTTTCTTCTTCCCCACTCCCTTTCTTTCCTTCCTCCCATCCTTTCCTTCTCTTCTTCCACCCTTCGCTCCATCCCCCTTCCTTTCTTCCACCCCATTCCCTTTCTTTCCTTCCTCCCTTTTTCCTTTTTCTTTCCTCCCTCCCCTTCCTTTCTTCCTCCCCACTCCCTTTCCTTCCTTCCTCCTTCCACTCCCCCTTTTCTTCCTCCCTTTCCTTCTCTTCTTCCACCCTTCCNGCCAGTTTGAGCCGAGGACTGATAAAGAGAGTTCCTTTTAAGTTTGTTTGCCTGTCGTCTGTTAACGAGCGGAGAAGGGGGGACAGAACAACAACCATAACACTAACTTAACAACTTCAGTGATTCATTTAAAAACTGTGGCAAGAAAGACCGTAAAATGGGGCAAAATTCACTTAACAAATGTCTCACTTAGCAACAGACATTTTTGGGCTCAATTGTGATCGTAAGTTGAGGACTACCTGTAATAGCTTCTATTTTTGGTATAAGAAGATCTATAGAGAAGGCAAAGGATGTGGGAAAGGAGGCACAAGTCAGAATACATCATCAGAAATTGAATGGTTTTGATGAGATCTAAATCAAAATGCTTCAAGTTATGACACAACTGCATCTTCTGTTGCCTTAAATGTGAGGATGTCCTCACATTCAACATTACTGAGCTTGAATACAATTAACTCTTTTCTCCTATTGCTAGATGAAGGTACATTTTTCTCCTGCTAAGAGTTAGATAGCCAATAAGCCCCACTTGTGTTAGTCAGTATTAATTAGATGAGTCTTTTATTTGAACTATGCTTGAATATGCATTCCAATGACCAGGTCAAGAATAGTGGATGTCATATTTCTTAAAATTTGTATAGAATCAATTAATTCAACAAGATGCTTTTAAAAAACATTACTTAGCCTCATTTTGGAAATTGTGGATAAAGCATCCCACAATTCAGTATCATTTCTTGTTTTTTTATGTAAGTATCTGAAAATGTATTACATCTTGATTCCTTTCATCAATATGTTTAATATGCAGATTACTGTGGTTGTTTTTTTTTGTAGAAAATACCTTTTTAAAAATAGCTACAATAATGAATCTTGTTAGAAGCAATAAAATGCATTGGAGTGATAGGTGCAATTATAATCCAAGCATGAAATGGTGTAATTAAAGTACATTCATAAAGAATATTGTACAAAATTTTCTGCTGCACAGTTGAAAAGTCATATTGAATATCTTGAAGAGATCTTTTTTTAAAAAGAAACCTTGCTGTCTAAAATCAACAGAATGCTATATTTTTTAATAATCTGTATCCTTAAAAGAGTGAATGTTAAACTTGAAAATATATAATTGATTCCTAGCCAGTGTTTATAGGTAAGGGGTGGTCTGTAGCTCAAGTGTAAATGCTTTATGGTAAGATTTCTGTTACATTTAATTAATGGCATTTTATTTCAAGCTCCAAAGAAGTATGCACTATATTCCACATAGATCTACAGCAGTGGCTCCCAACGTGGGGGCTAGGTCCCACAGGGGGGCAATTTGATTTTTAATGGGGGCAATTTGAACCTTGTTTAAACCCAGTTAATGGCCTTTTAGGCTTCCTCTTTGTGAGTAGAGTTCACTCTTTGTGTAAAGCAAGAATTATATGTCATGGAGGGGGTGGTATCAGGATTTTACAGATGTTTAGGTGGGACATGGCCAAAAAAAGGGTTGGGAACCACTGGTTTACAGAATCCTGTCATATCAAGAAGTAGGAATAGATAACTAATAATGATCACTGATTTAAATTCATGGTAGGATGGCAATCCAGAAGACCTTTAAGATCTTTACTATCACCTTTAAAGCCCTACATGGCCTAGGACCTGGATATCTACGAGACCGCCTCCTGCCACATACCTCCCAGCGTCCGATNTTGTATTAATGTTTTACATGAAAACACATCCTTTGGAACTTGAGACACTGAATCATGACAGAGAGGGAGCTATTGAGCAAGGCAGATATAGCATGTCTATGTTAAAATGCTAGGATCAGACACCGCAATGCAAACATGTGTAATTTAGAGGGGGAAGACCCTAGAGAGCCAAGAATGTCAGTTCCCGCCTTTGCAAAATACAGATTTACAGACTTGTGATTTATAGCACCACATCAGATATGCCACCAGCCGGTTTTCCAAATGAGAAAGAAATGTACTAACTTCATGAAACTGTAGCTTTCCTTTCATTTGTAGAACTCAGTTTGGCATTCTGCAGTATTGTGCTGATAAATCATAATCTTTTCCCATGGCATAGTTGAAAGTGAGAAGTGGTCTCAACGAAGAGAAAATAAGGCGAAGTTGTTCATCAGATATCCAGATAGGAAATGTCAGTGCATTGGCGATAAAGCACTAGAAAGTCACCAGTATAATCCGAGGTGAACTCCAACTAAATACTTTTTTGGCCAGAACTGAGAGAGAGCTCAGAAAAATCCTTTAGACAAGTATGTTATAAAATAAATCTCAGGAGTAAAACTCCTTTTGTAAATGAACTATCTTTGCCACTTAGTCTTCAACCATTTCCCAACTTTTTCTGAAAGGCATAGCTGGAAGCCATAAATTTAATATGCACCCATTGTAAGACAGTTAAGATAAAGGGAATAGCATATATAATATGTATGCTTTTAAAAGCCGTACTTCTCTACAGTATTAATATAATCCACGCTCAAGGAGGATGCTAAGATTTATCTCTGTATGTGTGTATCTATTTTATTTTTCAAATACCTGATATTTGTTGTATGCAAAACTCCAGGAGTTAAGACATTTTTCACCATAACAGTTCTAGAGACTTTCATGAGGCAAAACTCCAAAGTTTCAAAGCTTCTCTTCTCCAACTCTCACCAGGCCTAATAGGCTGCAATTTCTTTTGATTGGAAAGTGAATATGAAAAATATATGTGAAGAAATAAAACCAACCTTTTTCTCATGTAGGAGACTGAGGCAGGGACAAGCTTTGAAATTGTCTCATTCTTCCTTATTGTCTTTTCACAATTTAACTGCTGGCTACTTCATTTATCTACCATTTTTGCTCATTTCAGTTTCCAATTACTGCATATCCAGGATATGATTTTTAAAGGGAACCATTATAAATTCCATGTTCTACTTTATACTCTACTTTTCCAATTATATTAACACAAAGATATCATTGCTTATCCCTCTTCCAATCCCACTGTACTGCCTCACTATAGTGGGAGTAGCTGTTCCTGGAAGGGATGAGCCAAAAATATTTGGACTGCATCAATTTGACACTGCTGGGAGTATTCCAAGAGCACATATTATCACCTGGGTCAATCAAGAGGTGTCACTCAGCCCAACCATTTAGTCAAGCCAAGCAGACATCTATATCAGACACAGCAGTGTAGAAAGATGCTGGAGATGGATGATCATCTAAGTGACAATGGCAAAGGCATCATTCCATACTGCATGAGAGAATGCAGTGAAAGAGATACATAGATAATGATTAGGTATAAAGTGAAAGGCAATGTAGTGACAGAGGGTATGGCCTTCGGGTCACATGCAATCAGCATTAGTACTGAGGAAGAGCTGAGGATATTTTGGAATACTGTAAGCTTACAATGTCACTGAAAACCTTCAGTTACCAAAATTCTATATCAGTGTTTCTCAATCTTGGTATCTTTAAGAAGTGTGGACTTCACACATGGCTGTGGAATTCTGGGAGTCTGGGAATTTTGGGAGTTGAAGTCCATACATCTTAAAGCTAGCAAGGCTGAAAACGCAGTTTTCTATGCTATACATGGATAGAGCAGTACTCTTCCCTCAGGGAATTTCAATTATATGAAAAAAAAAATTCATGGCAGGCTTGGCATAGTTAATATAAGAGACCAAGAATAGGGTGTTTGTCTCCTTGGCATGTTAAAAATGAAGTTTTTATATAATGAAATCCACGTTTGCCAATGAAATAAGCAATGAAGATAGTGAGTTCTTTGTGCGTGTCTAAGAATTATGAATAGACAGTCAGCAGGTTACGAATGTCCAACTGAATGACAGTTCCTGTATAAGCTGCCCAATGAAGGCTCCCCAATGCTTTTGAGAACCACTGAAAACCCTTAAATAGATTGTCTACTACTAGAAAGGGCAGACCTCATTGTCCTTACTTGAGCTGACAAACTGCTGAACCCACACAATTTTTTTAGGAACCGCTGAAGCTACACATTTTCAATATATACAGCTTGTTTTCAGCAATTTTCAGTGGTTTCTGGAAGAATTGTATAGTTTTAGCTGTACATGGTGAAATGGACCAAGGAAGAACGAGGTAGGAGGCTCCTGAGGTAAAGTTAACAGCGTTTATTCGAACGGAACTGAACAGTAGAAAGGCTAGTGGTAGACCGGGACTCCGCCCTGCTTGACAGCTATTTATACGGAGCTGTCAAGCAGGGAGGCCAATAGGCGTGCATCTGACAGCCCGCGCTCAGCCAGCCATGCCTTAGCCAATCAGGAGCGGCCTGGCTGTTGCTGGCTGTCAGTCGTACGTGCGAGGACTAAACACATGGGCTTGAGAAAGAACAGCGTCGTCCACCATTTTTACTTATAGGTAGTCTATTTGTAAATACAAGTTCTGACTAAAATACAAATTTGAATTAAAAAATAAGTTCGGGATAGAACTTGTTCTTAACTCAGGGAC